TTTTTTAAAAATTGAAAATTATTTAATACACCGTTTCATTATTTGTCACTTGGTTTCTTTACCATAACGACATATATGCTAACTAGGTTGTATAATCCACCTTTTAGATGAAACGGGCTAGCAATAATTTAGTTGCCTCAAACTTGGTTGCCCTGTGTCTCTCTACGCCCATCTTTCACTTTTTTTGAGGGGCTTGTTTGACCTCTCGACATAGCGAGTTTGTGGCAGTGAAAGTCTAGGTTGATTCTAGACATGTTTGTTGGAGACCATACAAATAGGTCAACATTATTCTTTGTGACCTACTTTATCTTGACTTTTCTTGGTCTATTAACTGAGATCCAACATAAGTTACTTGGTTTGAGGCTTGGCCAAGTTGCATGGGGATGACATCTTCATTAGGTCACATCCTTTCTTCTTCCAAATAGGGATCTAACTCGAGGTGTTTGACACTATGTTAAAAGTTGTGATAAAGTTGATCCTACTAGGTTCATCTTCTAATAGCGGGGTTATTTTTAAAGTAACCATATAGCACTATCTTGCCATTTTTTTATTGGCATGTATCGTGATCACCCCCTTTTTTTGTTGAAAAGAACTTCATTGCCAAGTGGGGTGTTGACACAATTGCTCCAAATGTACTAAGAGACAGTCTCCCAAGAAGTATGTTGTATGACGTGATGGCGTGTACCACAACATATCGGATCTTGATATTTTGATAGACTTCCTCTTCCAACCCAAATCTAGTATACAAGTCTATGCAACCCCTAGTGTTTACTCGTTCCCTGGAGAAGCCAACCAGGGTTCATCATAGGATATCAACTCTTCTTTTGGTATATCCAACTATTTAAGGGTCTTCTAGTATAGTATGTTGATTGAGCTCCCTTGATTGACCAACGTCTTACGCACTATGCAGTCAAAGATTTGCATGTTGCTAAGAATGGGTAATCTTGAATTGGCTAAAAAAAATGGAAGTATTTATAATTATTAGTGAATGTTATTGTCAACATCTAAGGGAGGTCTCAATTTTTGACTATGTAGAGTGTTCATACAACTCGAAAATATCATTTACGAGAGGAGGAAGTGTATCTAACACCAACGAATCCTCTAGCTATCGTGTTGATAACCCTTCTTGAAGATTGATACTCTAACTATCAGGCATCATCACTTCTTTCTCAGGAACAACTTCTATGCCTTCTTTTTCTCGACCTTTCCTTATTTTGTGAGGAAGGGTTAGAGGATTTTTGATGAAAAACTATTCTTGAAGGCCATATGATCTTTGACAAAAGGAATGTCAAGAAGAATGCAAGAGGAGTGAGCTTAAGGTGAAGGTAGAAGGCCTAAGCTTCCATTGAGCTATAGGCTTATTTCATAGTTCATTTTTTTATATATATTTTCCTTGTAAATATTTTGCTTTATTTTGACCTTGTATTTTGGGTCAAGTAGTGTAGGTAATTTTGTCTTTGTATTGTTTTTACTTAAGGGTGTAATTAGTAGATTAGGAGAGGTGTAACTAGCTAAGTCTTGTTAGAATTATTTGGGTTTGGATGGCCTAAACTCCTTTTGGCCCATTGGTATTGGATGTCTACTTACTTATGCAAGTGGTTTGGATGTCCAAACCAAGCCATGTTTGCCATCCAAGTTACAAACTAAGTCACATGATTTTGATAATGCAATCTCAACAAACTTGTTAAATGTAATCATTACTTAGGTAGTTGGAGTTAACTTCAGCTAACGTAGGTTATGCTTAAACTAAGATTAGTTTAGCTTGCTCCATAAGCTTTTAGATAATTAACTAGACTTTTAGAAATTTAACTAGAGTTGGTTAGTGACGAGGCATTATTTTCCTTTATTTATTTATTTATTTATTTATTTATTTGTACTTATTTTAATTGTTGATTTGGGCTTAACTACTTATTAATTGCACAGTTTTACTATTTAGGTTTCATTAGACCAGTAATTCAAATTTTAATTAATTCCAATTCACTTGGTCTAATTTTTGTCTATTAATTATTTTCAAGTTAATTGTGAAACATTTTTTGGCTTGGATATTATTTTTGGCTTTAATTTTTGTCTATTAATTATTTTCAAGTTAATTCCCATGTTAGCACCACATCACCACATCAGCGCCATGTCAGCAACATATTTACATTTTTATTAACCTCATTTTTGTAATTTCGGGCCAAACACATGGGAAAGGGGCCCATTTATGCTTCTAGGGTTTTAGGACCTAAGTTAAGGCTGACCATGTGTAATGACCCGCCGTGGTGTCTACACTTAATGGAATCGCACAAAAAGATTTGTAAACTAAGATAAATAATAAAATTGGATAACTCATAAATACAAAACGTGATAAATATATACAATAATTAAGTTTTTAAGTAATATTATTTACACAGTTATCCAAAACTACTATCTCCTAATGCCGGTCAAGCACAAAATTGTTACCCAAGATGGTAACTCTGACACTAGGAAACCAAAAAATCCCACTTCTAGCAGCAGACTCAACCAACAGCTCCAACCTAGCTCTGATCTGCTCCCATACACAGTATGATCATAGCAGTCCATCCACATGGAAACAGAAGGGTAAGCTAGAATTCAATAATCAACCATATGAGTATAGGGAAAATACTATACTACACATTCATTTCATCATCATCACAAACAACCATACAGTTCAACATAAAAACACAATTCATTCATACAACTTAGAAGAAACTTTAATACAACAACAATATACAACTTAATATTTAATGCGTCGTCACGCATGTACAACTGGGAGATCTCCAACAACTGAAGTTGAGCAGTCTAGGTGGCATAAACCCTACCGAATCCAGCATTTGACCTATCTCAACTAGGTCAGGTATAGAACAACGTTAGGAACTTCGAAGAGAACTAGGTATAGACAACAATAGCTGATTGCTCAGGTGTGCCACTTAGACTCGGAGGTCCAGTGCTACTGTCAGGACAGAAGGGTTTGGGTATGAGCCTACCACGGCCTTGGCTAGCTTCACCAATCCACATGTGGAGTTAACCCACCCACTGTCCTCCAAGTACCACGCACCCTCTAGTACCTAGTCAAAGACTACATCTCTAACTAGATACCTTACTCAAATTGGTCATTCAACCATGACTAGTACCTAGTCAAAGACTACATCTCTAACTAGATACCTTACTCAAATTGGTCATTCAACCATGACATGGATCGACTATTTCCATGTCACCCACACAGTACTAAGGGATTCAACTTTAAAACAACTTTCAATTTTAAAATAACTTTCCACTTATCACCTTAGTACTATGTATCTCAACATAGGACATATATCTTCACCATATGTCCCCAACTTTTCAACTTTGCAACAATAGTCATATTAACAACTTCACAACGATAGACAACTTACAACTTTACAGCAATAGACGACTTATAACTTTAAGCAACTTACAACAATAGGCAACTCATACAACTTTAAACAACTTTTACATCAATATACTACTTCAACTTATACATCTCAACTTATTAATAATTCAACAATAAACAACATAGAAACAACTTAGTTTCACAACGTATAACAACTTTAACAACATATCACATATTATCAACACGCAACATATGAACATCTTAAGCCAACAACTACTCAATCCACAAACAAAAACTTAACCATTTTCAAATAAAACAATGCATGAAGCTTCCCTAACTCTCCTAAAATTAAACAATCTACATTCTAGTTTCCCTCACCTGAAGATTGGCTCAGATTAGCCAAAAACTGAACAAAAGTAGAATTTCCCTTCGAAGCTCAACCTGGAACTTCAATCCACCTAAAGCAAGCCTTCTAATCTGTATTTCAAGAAATGACAGAAGGTATTAGTGGTCTAGAGGACAAAAGGAATCATACAGAGAAATTTGGGAGAGAAAGGAGCTCACAGACCTAGAGACCTTCTCTCTAAAACTTGTCTCTAAAAACTCACATTCTCCTCATGGCCCACACCCCCTATTTATAGACTTTTCGGAGTGGCCAGAACGGCCTGTACCGAATCCGGAACGGCCTGTTCTACACCCCTCCTTCATGTGCAAAAATCACATGCAGAATGGCCCGTTCTAAAATTAGAACGGCCCGTTCTGGAACTCATCCAGAACGGCTTGTTCTGGAACTCATCCAGAACGGCCCGTTCTCTCTCCAGTACGGCCCGTTCTCAACTACGATTTACAGGTAAATTTAATAGCTTGGAACAGCCCGTTCCAAATTGGGAACGGCCCGTTCTGGGCTACTAAATCACCTATTTTGGGCTTTCTGAAACAACTTGCTACGTTACAATACCCCCCAACAAATAGGAATTTTCGTCCCCGAAAATAGGCTTACCTGAAAAGAGGAATGGATACTGTTCCTTGAACTGACTCTCTACTTCCCAGGTTGCCTCACCAATAGTTGCATCCCAAAGAATCTTCACCAAATTGATGGACTTGCCATGAAGCTCTTTCAACTTGTGATCAACCACAGCTACCGGTCTCTTCTCATAAGTTAAGTTATCTCTAACTTGCACCTCATCCATCTCTATCACGTGGGTCGGGTCTCTAATGTATTTCCTCAACGGTGAAACGTGAAACACATCGTGCAGATTGGACAGAAACAGAGGTAACGCCAATTGATAAGCCACTGGACCTACACGAAGAAGGCTCTGGTAAGGACCAATGAATCTCGGTGTGAGTTTCTTGGCTCTTAAAGCCCTTCCAACTCTAGTAGTGGGTGTCACCCTGAGAAACACGTGCTCT